GAGGACAGGAGGCTTGGTTCCTGTGTCCTCAGGGCTGCATCTAGAAGCTGGCTTCCAGGATGAGCAGGTACTGAAGTACAAGGAAGATACACTAAATGTTTGAACTTGAGCTGGAAGCTCTGCTGAGTTCCTGAGACAGGTCTGGGCTGGAGACAGATCAGTGGTTAGATAGTAACCAGGAGAAGATAAAGTGATTAAAGTCAGCAGAGTCACAGGAGATAGATGAGCTGAAGGTGCACAGAGGGTCCTGCCATGGAGAACAAAAGGCTGGGACGAGAGGAGGCACTGATGGAACACAGCCCTAGCATCCAGGCTCTAGGGCTGTCCAGTCCCCTAGAACCCGGGCGGCCCGAATGTGCTTTTGACTGATGGGAAGGGGTACAGTGATGTCACTACATTTCTAAGTCTAGTTTATAAGAAGTATGGATCCACTGGGTGAAATACTCTTGCTAAGGGAGTCAGCCACCATGGAGGAAGTCAACAAAAAACAGGGGCTGGAGAAATGGATCAGTGACCCAGGTTTGATTCCCAGCACCCACATGGCAGTTAACCACCATCCAAAACTACAATCCAGGTGATCTGACACCCTCTTCTGATCTCTGTGGGCATTGCATGACTTGGGTGTACTTACCTACAGGTAGGCAATACACTCATACTCTTAAAATAAAAATATTTTTTTTTTTGTCTTTTTGAAGCAGGGTCTCCCTGTAGCCTCAGCTGTCCTGGAACTCACTATGTAGACCAGGCTGGCCTTGAACTCACAGAGATCCGCCTGCCTCTGCCTCCCAAGTGCTGGGACTACAGGCGTGTGCCACCACCCCCGGCTCCAATAAAAATAATTTTTAAAAAATGTGTATGAGTGTATTGCCTGCATGTAGGTAAGTACGCCTGTGTCGTGCAATGCCTGCAGAGGACAGAAGAGGCCATCAGATCCCCTGGAACTGGAGTTATGGACAGTTGTTAGCTGCCATGTAGGTGCTGGGATTCAAACCCAGGTCTTCTGCAAGAACAGTGTTCTTAACCGCTGAGCCATCTCTCCAGCCTCCAAAAATAATTTTTTTTTTTTTTTGTCTTTTTGAGACAGGGTCTCCTTGTAGCCCCAACTGTCCTGGAACTCACTATGTAGACCAGGCTGGCCTTGAACTCACAGAGATCCTCCTGCCTCTGCCTCCCAAGCGCTGGGATTAAAGGTATGTACCACCATGGGGCTGGAGAGATGGCTCAGTGGTTAAGAACACTGGCTGTTCTTACAGAAGACCTGGGTTCAAATCCCAGCACCCACATGGCAGGTACAACTGTCCATAACTCCAGTTCCAGGGAATCCCGACGGCCTCTTCTGTCCTCTGTGAGCATTGCATGACATGGGTGCACTTACCTACATGCAGGCAATACACTCATACACATAAAAATAGTATTTTTAAAGGTGTGCGCCACCATGCTTGGCCTTTGGCTTTTTTTAAAAAAACAGTTTCTTAGCCCGGCATGGTGGTGCACGCCTTTAATCCCAGCACTTGGGAGGCAGAGGCAGGAGGATCTTTGTGAGTTCGAGAACAGCCTGATCTACATAGTGAGTTCCAGGCCAGTTGGGGCTACAGGGAGACCCTGTCTCAAAAAAACAACAACAAAAAAAATTTCTTTACTATTGAGACTTAATTTTTACCCAGTAAAACACACTGGCCCTCAGTGTGCAGCACAATACTTTTTACACAAATAAGAAGCCTTGTGACCACCACTCACATTGGCCACCAAAGTTACCTGTGCCTATTGCTGGGCATCTCTTCTTCCCCAGTTCAGGGGTCCACGTTGTTCTGGTGACTGTCATCAGCAGCCATTTAACCTGCTCTTGAACTTCATATAAACGGAATCCTACATCATGTGTTCTCTGCGGCTCCTTTTGCTTAAAATTAAGTCTGGAAGATTTGCCCATGTCTCTGCATACAGTGGTCATGCTTTTAAAATATTTTATTTTTATTTTATGCGTATGAGTGTATTGCCTACATGTATGTGAGTGCACCCGTGTCGTACAATGCCATGGAGGTCAGAAGAGGGCTTCGGATTCCCCTGGAACTGGAGTTAAGTACGGTTCATAGCCACCATGTGGGTGCTGAGAATCGAATCTGGTCCTCTCCAAGAGCAGTCAGTGCTCTTAACTGCTGAGTCATCTCTCCAGCCCCAGTGATCATGTTTTTAATGTTTATTTTTAAAATTATGTGTATGAGTGTACTGCCTACATGTAAGTGCATCTATGCTGTGCAATGCCCACGGAGGTCAGAAGAGGGTGTTGGATCCTTTGGAAATGGAGTTACAGACGGTTGTTAGGCACTACGTGGGTGCTGGGATTCGAACCTGGGTCTTTTGCAAGAGCAGCCAGTGCTCTTAACCAGTGAGCCATCTCTCTAGCTCCCCAAGTGATCTGAGGATGACTGAACTTTTTTGTTTTTTTTTTGGTCTTTTGGAGACAAGGTATCCCTGTAGCCCCAGGTGGCCTCCAACTTGCTATGTAGACCATGCTAGCCTTGAACTCACAGAAATCCACCTGCCTCTGCCTCCCAAATGCTGGAATTAAAGGCATGGACCACCACGCCCAGCAACTTTGAACTTTTCATATTCCTACCTCCTCTTCCCAAACCATGCCTGTCTGTGCGGTACTGGGGAGCAAACCCAGGGCTTGATGCATGCTAGGTGAGCACTCTACCAACCGAACCACATCCTGAGTCCCTTTACCATTGATGGACAGTTGTAATGCTCTCAGGCTTTTGAAATCTTAAATAGGATTGCCGTGATCATCACTGTATGAGTCAAGATGTGGACCAGCCCTTATTTCTCTGGGTGCCTGTGCAGGAAGGGAAAGGCTGGGCCTATCTCTAGGATAGAAACTGCCACAGAGCTGTCTGTGGTGTGCCAAGCATACTACTGCCAGCAGAGAACAATCCATTCTTCTAACCCTTGGTATTGTCAGGTCTTTTATTTTGAACTACAGAATTAGGGAGTGAAGACTGTTTTCAGTGACTGCTGTGGAGTGCCTGGAGGATGGTGAAGGAGGAGAGGAAGGGCTTGGGCTCTGGGGTTCACTATGTGTATGCCAGGACTAGCCCACAGATGGGACCTCTCCAAGTGAGAAGATGGTCACCATCTCCTAAGAAATCTTGGGATGAGGGTCTCCATCATAAAAAAACAGTAATGCCTTCCAGAATGCCTGCCCCCTGCCCCAACTTCCCTTGTATCTCATTGAGGACTGCCACCTATGCTCATTTTTAAGGAAGATTTTTAAAAATTTATTTGTATTTTTTGTGTATGAGTGTTTTGCTTGCATGTATGTATATGCACTACATGCATGCAATGCCTATGAAGACCAGAAGAGGGTGTCAGAGCCCCTGGAACTGAAGTTATGGATGGGTGTAAGATATGGGTGCTGGGAATCAAATCAGGTCCTCTGCAAAAGCAGCCAGTGCTCTTAACCCCTCAGCTAGCTCTCCAACCCCCGACGCTCATTCTTGAACCGATTATGGACAAGAATACGGACACATGTTCCTATATTCTGAAGTCCTTGCTGGGTGGGTCTTCCCCAGAACACACCAGCAATGTTCACAGGGCATTTTCTCCTGCTGATCATGTTGCTTGGCATGCCTTTCCTGATTTTCCAGTTTGGGAAATTTGCATGACTATATATTTATTGTCAACTTGACATACCTGGCAAGGAGGAACTTCAATGGAGGAATTTTCTCCATCAGATTGGCCTGTGGACATGAACCATCTCTCTCCAGCCCCTGTGGGTATTTTCTTGATTGCTAATTGATGTAGAAGGGCCCACCCCACCATGGGCAATGCCACCCTTTGGCAGGTGGGCCTGGGCTATGTAAGAAAGCTAGTTGAAAGCTGGGCATGGTGTACATGCCTTTAGTCCCAGCACTCGGGAGGCAGAGGCAGGTGGATCTCTGAGTTCAAGGCCAGCCTGGTCTCCATAGCGAGTTCCAGGCCAGCTGGGGCTACAAGGAGACCCTGTCTTACCAAAAAAAGAAAAGAAAGTTGAGGCCAGGCATGGTGATGCACACCTTTAATCTCAGCACTGGCGAGGCAGAGACAGGCAGATCTCTCTACAGCTTGATCTACATAGTGAGTTCCAGGCCAGCTGGGGCTACAGGGAGACTATGTCTTAAAAAGACCAAAAAAAAAGAAAAAAAAAAGAAAAAAAAAGAAAAAAAGAACACTAATTAAACAACATTCCTCCATGGTCTCTGCTTCAGTTCCAGTTCCTGCCTTGGCTTCCCTTGAGGGACTGCAACCTGTAAATCAAATAAACCCTTTCCTCCCCCAAGTTGCTTTTGGACATGTTTATCACTGCAACAGAAAGCAAACTAGAATACGTATCTTGAAACTACTTTCAAAATGGTTACAGGCCAAGCCAGTGTCTCCTCTGTGCTCCCGTGGTCTTCTGGAACCCAATCGAATATGGTTTCTATTGCTCAGAAATGTGACCATCATGGGCACAGCTATACATGATGACCCCATCCCAGTGGCCTGGGGTGGCCACATTTACTCTCTACCTCTACCTCTGTTAAGGGCTGGGGCACCCCTGGGCCTACACTCAATTTGGGACTGAGAGAAAACACCCATTGCTGGAGAAGCAAACTCAGGCTCAGAGAGAAGATGTGACTTGCCCAAGGTCACTGTCAGGGGCAGCCTCAGTGTCAGCTCTCTGTAACTCCACAGCTTCTCAGACAGTGAGTCGATGAGATAGGCCTGAGATGAGTCTGTGACTCACCAGGAACCCAGGTTAGAGTGCAGTGACTGTGGTCAGGGTGGAGCCTGGTCTCGGTGCTTCCAACTTGTTCCCTGCCACTCCCATCCCCCTTCAAATCAAGACCTGGTCTGAGGGGTGTATTGGACTCAGCTCCTCCCTTGGAAACCTACAAGGCTCTGCTTCGGGAAAGGTGAGGTGCAGGAACCACTTTAAGAACCAGGTCTCCACTTCCCGCCCTGCCCAACCATCCACCACACCAGAGCTGCTGGAAGGTTTTATTAAGTTAGGAGGGCTCATGGAGCAGGACAGAAGCATCTTCATAGGTGGTACTAGAGGGCCACACCCAGGGCCCCTCAGAGGGGTGGAGCTGTGGGGACAGCTGCTGGCTCCTCCCTGTCCCTTGGTCCCCTAGTCCACATGCCAGGTGTGGGCCTATTCAGAGCAGGAAGTAGTTTGCAGGAGGTAGGGCAGGAAGAAGGGGCTGCTTCCAGTCTCTCCCCTCCAGTTAACCTGCCCCGGCCCTACCTGACCCATCCTCAGGGCTGGACAGAGACCCAACCAAGGAGCTGGGGAGGAACAGGAGTGCTAGAGGCACATACCAATAGGAATTTCCTTTTTAAAAAGTATAAAGTATTTTAGAAAAAAAAAAAAAAAAGGAAAAAAATCTCTATAAAAATCTCTTCACATATAAAATCCTGAAGAAGGTGCAAGACCCAGTGCGAGGGGCGCGCTCAGATACGCAGTGTGTCTGTGCATGTGTGCATGTGTGTGTGTATGTTGTAGGTGTGAGTGCATGTGCGACCCACGGGGTGGGGAGAAAGCTTGGCTTCTGACTTCTGTCAGAGAAGGAGGGTGACTGGTCCCCTGGGGCTCGAGGGTCCTCAGCTGGGCTGAACCACAAGGACCTGAAAGACAAGGGTAGGTGCTAAGCACTGGGAAAGGCCCCACCTCAGGCCTAGGCTTGGGCCTGCCAGTGAAGGCCAGGCCAAGGCAGGATCAGAACTGTCCACAGCCCCTGGCCCTGAGGCTGGGCCAGGCCTGCTCTTCTGGGCTTCTCTGTACAGAGTATGATAGCCTGTCTTATCAGAAAGAGGACACTCGGGGCAGACATGGCCATGTCATGTCATATCATACATCATAGTGCACTTCTAGCGCTGAAGGAGGAGCAATGGGTAACACATGCCATGGCCTGTGCTGCCTGCAGCATGATGGTTGGGGGTATGGGGACCACTGACTGCAAAAATAGGTCATGTCCAGGGTCATCACCAGCTTGTGGAGGAGCAGAATATGAGGTGGTGGCCATGGCGGTGGCTAATATTCAGGGCTGTGGGGTCCTGACCCAGCCATGTGTCCTCGAGTGTACAAGTTGACATGTCAGCCTCTAGTCTGTTTCATGACCTGTGTGGCTAAAATCACGTGCCACTTAAAGAAGGATAAATGGGCCTGAGAAGGATGTGCTGGCCCATGGAGTTGGATGGAGGTGACCAAGAGCTCCCATTGTAGGGTGTCCCACCCACCTTTACTCAGCCAGGCTGTTGCGCACAGCCTCCTTCTCCTGCAGGGCGGCCATGGCCAGGCGCAGGTGCTCCTTCAGCTGTTCAATCTCACGCTCTGACCGAGTCTTGATGTGGTTCAGCTCCACGTACACATCCTGGTACTTTCCCGTGAAGCGCTTGTCCTGGGGTTATGGAGGAAAAACTGAGGGCTGCAAGTGCTCACTTTGCCCCCTGCTGGAGCACAGAGGACCAGGTTCCTCCAATCCCCTGCAACTCCCTCCCAGCAGGACCTAGTGAGGTGGATCTCTCCCATTGGAGGGGTGGGAACAAGGGCTTGGGGAGATGAAGTCTTTGCCCAAGACCACCATGAGCAGCTAGGATGAGACCCAGGTGGGTGTGGCCAGTGTCCTTCTGTGTACTGTCCCTGCCTGTTCTCCAAGCACACTAAGGGCAGCCTTGGCTCATACACTCTGAGTCACCATGCGTCCCCAACCATGACTCAGCTGCCAAGACTCAATGAAGGTATTCGCTGAGGTAAGCCAAGGATTGGCCGAGCAGGCTACAGGAACTGAGTGGGAATCATGGTTCTGACTATCAACAATAACCGTTTTCACCAGAATGTATGCTCCATCCCCATCCAGGCTTGGAAAGTGTTCTGTTCATAGCTGTATCCCTAGCACCTAGCATGATACCAGGCACATAGGTGCTCAGTAGTAAGTAAAATAACCTTGAAAGTCAAAAAGCAAGTGTGGCCTTGGGTGAGTCACACCCTCCCCCTTATCCTGCCTGTTCCCTGGTCTGTAATGGGACAGAGATGCCTTCATAGGCGACCCAAGGACAGGATTAAGCCAACAGTGCCGGCTCAGACTGGCACCCAGAGCACACCCAAGTCTGCAGCCAGTGCTGCCTACCTTCTGCATCACCTGGAGCTCATCCCGGAGGCACTGCACCTCCTTCTTCAGGTACTGGAGCTCGTTCTCTTTCACTCTCAACAGTACCTAAGGACAACAGAGCCAGATTGAGGCAGGACCATAGGCCAAGCCTGCCTGGCCCCTACACTGCCTGCAGCCTGGCCCCTCCCTTATTCAAGCCCATGAGGAGCACCATTCTGCACTAAGAGCCCCTGCACCCCACGGGCCACCACCCCAGGAGGCCACTCTACTCTCTGCTCCTCTTTTCCTCATTCTCACCCCATGCATACTGTGAGGGGGACTCTTCCAGCCACCTCAGCTGCAACCTAACAGGGCACTAGGCCTACGTGCTAGGGACGAAGGGATCAACAGGAGACTGTGGCTTGCCTTGGCCTTACTGTAAACTACAGCTATGTGACTGTGGCATACTACCCCACTGACCCCTCCCAATCCTGAGGGACATGACCCTGGGCTCAGCTGGTTCATGGAAGGCTGAAAACTCTGGACTGGGGCTCTACTGCCTGGCTCCAGCCCGATCCCCCACACTGATAGCTTGCGGCCTTCACGACCTCCCTGTGTTCCTCTATCTGTCGAATGCAGATAGCAACAGTGCTTAACTAATGGGCCTGGAGGAAGAGAAGGTAACAGAGTCAAAGAACTTCTAGGCTCACAGACAAGCCTTATATTGTTTGCTAAGTAAAACAGAAAATACCTGGGTGATCCTGGGATCACACATCCTTTCTCATTCCAGCTTCTCCTAGTAAGCAAAGTATTAGCCTATGTTACAGATGAGCTATTGGACTCACAAAGGCCAAGTACCTGAGTCCAGTCACATAGCAGGTAGGTGACAGGACTAGAGAGGCTGGCGTTCTGGCTTAGCTCTGCTGGTCTCCCTTAGCTGGGACCCCGCCCCTCAGAGACTTGGTACCCACCTGCAGGTGACAAGTCTAAAGAGCTGCCACACAAGGCAGCTGTCTGACATAAGAGAGGGAGAAGGGGAGGGCAGGGCGCTCACCTCCAGTTCGCAGGAGCTCCGCTCACTGCTGCGCCCGCAGCTATTGCCAGTGCCCTGTGAGGCGATGAAGCTGCGTAGCCGGTTGATTTCCTCTGATAGGTGTGAGTGCAGCTCCTGAGAGGATGGACAGTCAGGGTGGGGACGCCAGCCCCATCACACCCACTGGTGGCCTGCTGGGGACCAGTCTACCTGGTTGTGGCGCAGCAGTTCCTGGCCTTCCTGCTGGCAGACCCGCAGTGTGTGCTCCCGCTCCTCTGCCTGCTGTGTCAGGGTGCCGATCTCCAGGCACTTCTGTGAGTAGCGCTCAGACAGCACCTGCAGCTCCTGCTTCAGCGCCTCCATGTCCAACCTACCCAGCATCGGAAGGGGCAGAGCTGGACTATGTGGCCTCTCCTGTCACTGCTGGGCCTGGAGTCACAGCTCAACACTGCTGGTCCTGGCTACCTCATGGTTCTGATCTCAGCGCACCGCAGCTGTGGGCTGCTGACAGTCCTCTGAGAGGGTGAGCTGAGGGGCTGCCTCTCCTATAGCCCCAGCATTCTAGGACGTGCTGCGCAGGGAGCTACTTATTGGCCAAGAGTAACACTGCAACACAGTCCTAGGGGATGCTAAAGAGGAAGCGAGACTGGCCTGGCACTGACAAGAGGCCCTGTTCCTTTAAGACTGCAGTGGGACCCTCAGTGGGGAGCTAACCCATGTACTCTCTGCCAAGAGGCCTCAGCAAACGCCCCGACTTACAGCTCTGGGCCTCGGCAAAGCCCCCAACTCACAATGATCACAGTGGGTGGCGGGCCCCTGGCTCAGCAGCCCCACCCTAGACCCCAGACCCGTTGCCATCTCACTGGTGCTGCTTCCTCAGGCCATCTGGGCCCTGATGGAGACTCCGTGTTTTGCTCAGCTCCCGACTCAGCTCTTCCTGGTAGGCTTTCTTCATGGCTTCAATGGCTGAGAGTAGGGGAGACAGGCAGAGGTTGGAAGGGGATCAGGAAGAGGTTTCCACTTGTACTGGTAGAAACAGGACCAGGAAGAAGTGTGCAGAGAGCATTAGACCAAGGGTCCGGAGCAGTCCAGGCTATGCCCTGAACTGAGTGGCTTGTGGGTTCAACCTCTCTGAGCCCTTTACAGGAGGATAATCCTGTGCGATGGGCTCTCCTGGGGAGGTACTTTGCTATCTAACCACCAGGGCCTCTTGTTAGTGGTTTCTGTCTAAGGCTTCACATAGTGCACCATCCCTGAAGAGCCTGGAGGGTCACTCAACAAGGCCCATCTGTCCTGCCTTGCCTGCAGTCCAGAGGTCAGGCTTTGCAGCCATGATAAATATCTATAACTCTGTGCAGGTTACTTAACCCCTCTGAGCTCTGGGACCCTTTCTAGAAGGTAGTTAACAGTTGCTACTCCTCTCCAAAGGGCATCTAGAAGATGGACGCAGAACAAAGTATGGCACAGAGAATAAGGCCCAAAGACTAGCTCCCTCTGGCTGTTTCTGGCTGAGCTCCAAGAACTGGGTATTTCTGCCATACTATACAGGGTGGTTACAAGGACTAAGTAAGCAAGCCTTCACAGTCTTATCCATGATTCCAAAACGCAACACCTCTGAACACTGAGAGTGTCTCATCACTCCTCGGTGGCAATCCCTGCCATGTGTGGCAGGGACACAAGGTTGTTGACAGACTATCATTCCACATAATGTTAGGTCAAGTTCAAATTTACTGCAGAAGCCTTGATGCTGAGTCACAGGGTGATGCCTGAAACTTGCTGGGAAGGGCCAGGTACTCTATGGTGCCTGTGGGGAGGGACCTCCTAAAATGTGAACAGGAACACTACCCTGTTTGGTAGGAGGGATGTGGGCTTGAGGGCACACCAGTACTAGCAGGGTCCAAGCTTGGGATCACATTACCTTGTTCATGCTTTCATTATTCTGAAAAGCCCTTGAGGCTGCCCAAGCTGTGCCAGGCACAGCAGATGTGTGATGGACAGAGGAGGGGAAAGGAGTTGTCTGGTTTGGTGTTTCCTGTTTCTGGCTTGGGAAAGCTGAGGGGGTTCGGAGCCCAGCAGTTAGAATGTTTGCTCTGGGCTCCAAGCCCAGCTTTGCCACCTCTGTGCCATCTGGGACAAGTCACTAACCTCTTGGTGGCCCAGCTTCCTCATTCCCTGGATACTAATGAAGACTCAGGATGCTCCCATAAGGAATGTGTCCCACAGAGAGGACACACAGACAGGGCAGAGCAAGGCTCACACCCTTCCCTTAAGCATCCTAGAGTTTGGTCCATGTGCCTAGGGAAGGGGGTGGCATTTCAACCAGAACAGAGTGTGTGGCTGATCGGCGTCTCTCCTCTAATGGGGTAGTATATGGCTCAAGGTAGACCCCTCAGTAGCTACAGAACCCCCAAACCATGGGAGGAGAAGTCTTTTACTGCCTCAGTTTCTCCTTTCCAGTCGGGCCAGACATGACTTCTAGGGCTTCCATCCCCCGCTGACTCCTCACCCCCAGGTCCTTATTTAATAGACTCCCAGTTCAGTGTGGAGGCACCAGGCCCTACCCATGGCACATCCTGCTCTCACCCGAGGCCGTGGCCGCCGTCTCCTCAGCCAGCAGCCATTCCTTCTCCTGCTGCAGCCGCTGCAGCTCTCGCTCATGGTGCCGCTGCAGCTGCTCCATCACCTGCTGGTGTGAAGATTCCATCTCTGCCAGGCTGCGCTCACAGGCTTCCTGTGGGTCAGAGGCCAGGGAGGTCATGAGGCTGCCCCTGCTGCTGGGGCCAGTGGCAGGTCTGCCCAGGTTGAGCTCACTATTAAGTTCACAGTGCTGCACTGAGTCCATACCTGCTCCCATGGCTACGCCTCCCCTCCTCATCCTCAAACTTCACCAGTCCCTCCCCTGCTTCAAACTCCAATGGGGCTTCCCACTTGTAGCATGAAGTCTGGCTCACCACTGCCAAGCAACCTCACAATTATAAAAACCAGCTCTTGGGGACTGGAGAGATGGCTCAGCAGTTAAGAGCACTGGCTGTTCTTGCAGAGGACCCGGGTTTGAATCCCAGCACCCACACGGCGGCTGACAACTGTCTGTGACTCCAGTTCCAGGGGATCCCTGATGCCTTCTTCTGATCTCCTCATACATGGGCACTGCACGACACAGGTGCACTTACATACATGCAGGCAATACACTCACACACATAAAATAAAAATAAATAAAAATAAAAACAGCTCTTGGGATGGTGAGATGGCTCAGTGGGTAAAGGCATTTGCTGAGTAAGTCTAACAACATAAACTGGATCCCCAGAACCTATGTAAAGACTGAAGGAGAGAACTGAATCCACAAATGGCCCTCTTGCCTCCACACACATGGTGCAGTATGCACATGCCTATCCTACTCAATGATAAAAATATTTTTAAAAAAAAGCAAAAAAAATGTGTTAGTAATTTTATGTGTATGAGTGTATTGCCTGCATGTATGTGAGTGCACCCACGTCGTGCAATACCGCGGGGGTCAGAAGAGGGCTTCGGATTCCCCTGGAACTGGAGTTAAGGATGGTTCGTAGCCACCATGTGGGTGCTGGGAATCAAACCCCGGTCCTCTGCAAGAGCACTCAGTGCTCTTAACCACCGAGCCATCTCTCCAGCCCCCAACAACACATTTTAAGAAAACCTAGGGAGGAGCTGCTCATCTCTTTTTACATCTGTTTATTGGGGGAGGGTTGCACATGTGCTTGTGTGGAGATCAGACGTGTAGGAGTCGGTTCTCTCCTTCCACCATGTGGGTTCCCAGGATGGACCTTAGGTTGGAAGGCTTGGCAGAAAGTGCTTTTACCCACTGAACCATCTTGCCAGCCTCACAGACTCATTTCTAATCTTTCGTTGTTCTGTTTTTTTATTTTTTGAGACAGGGTTGCCCTGTAGCCTCAGCTGACCTGGAACTATGTAGACCAGGGGTGGCCTCAACCTCACAGAGATCTGCCTGCCTTTGCCTCCCAAGTGCTGGGATTAAAGGTCTGCACCACCAAGCCTGGCTCTAATCTTTTGATTTATGTCCTTTTTGCAGTGCTATGAATAAAACCCAGGGCCTTGAGCCTTCTCAAGTGCTCTACCACTAAGCTACAGTCCCAGCCCAGACTGAATTTATTTGCCTTTTTGGGGTTATTATTTTTTTTATGTGTATGTGTGTATTGCCTGCATGTAGGTAAGTGCACCCATGTTGTGCAATGCCCACGGAGGTCGGAGGCTGTCGGATGCCCTGGGACTGGATCTGTGGAAATAAGTCTGTGAGGTTGACAGCTGTTAGCTGACATATGGGTTCTGGGATTCGAACCTGGGTCTTCTGCAAGAACCACCAGTGTTCTTAACCACTGAGCCATCTCTCCAGCCCCCTTTTTATCTTTTTAAAGACAGGACCTTGCTCTGTAGCTAAAGCTGGCCTTAGACCAGAAATCCTGCCTCAGGGTCCCAAATGCTGAGATTACAGATGTGTACCACCATGCCTGGCTGTTTGAATGGTTTAAAAAATGTCAATGTGCAAAAAAAAAAAAAAAAAAAAAAAAATAAAAAAAAAAAAAAAAAAAAAAAAAAAATGTAATTGTGGGGCTAGAGACATGGCTCAGCCATTAAGAGCACTGACTCCTTTTGCAGAGGACCCAGGTTCGATAACCAGCACCCACATGGTGGCTATGAACCATCCTTAACTCCAGTTCCAGGGGAATCTGAAGCCCTCTTCTGACCTCTATGGCATTGCATGACACGGGTGTACTCACATACATGGAGGCAATACACTCATACACATAAAATAAAAAATAAAAATAAATAAGTAAAATATTTAAAAAAATGTAAATGTGGCCGGGCATGGTCCCAGCACTCAGAAGGCAGAGGTAGATAGATCTCTGTGAGAACGAGACCAGCCTGGTCTACACAGCAAGTTCCAGGCCAGCTGGGGCTATAGGGAGCCCCTGTCTCAAAAAGACCAAAAAAAAAAAAGGTGGAGAGCCACAGAGGAGACCTTTAGCCTGAGCATACACACATATACACACATGCACGCACACACGCACGCACATGCACATACCACATACACACACAAAGAAAAAGACAGACGTCACTGAAAGGGAATGGGAAGAGGCAGGGAAGAAACGAAGGCAGAGCCACATAAAGGACTGCAGTGCCCCCCGATCGAGGCTTGTATTCCCTTTTCCCGCAACTATTCCTGAGGACATAGCAGGCCTGTTGGAAGGGAAGGGCTGGGTCCTATGTTCTGAATGTGGGAGGAGGTAGGCCCCTGCCTGTCCTGCTGGGCTTGTGCTCCTGTCCTCTGACTGTCCCCTCACTTAGGATGACAGAAGTAGTTTTGGAGTTCCACATGCCAGATTACCCAGGAAGTAGATGTAAGCCAACTGCCCCTCCTTACCATGTTCCACCTGTGAGCCTCAGCCTCAGCCAAAGAGGACTCACAAGAGTCCCCAGTGAGGCTCTCTGGGCAGAGAGGCTGATGGGTACAGTACTGCAAGTTTGGGGGAGCCCAGCAATGTGGGGGTGAGGGCCAGAACTGGCACACAGATGTGGCAGCAGGAGATAGGAACCAGTCCATGAGGCTCCTAGAAGGCTGGGAGCCATCTGTGACCTACCTTCCTTAGTGATCAAGGTGTCCTGGTGCTGGACACCCCTCTGCCATGAAATCAAGGTAGAGGAATAAACACTGGTGCCCCCTCTGCATTAGCTTGAGTGCCCCTCTTCTACAGCTATTCCAGGCCTGACACTGAAGCTCCACACCTCAATAAACTTTTCTGCACTGGCCAGCCTGTCCCAGCCCTGCAAGAAGGGCACCCACTCAGCCAGTGAGCGCAGGCTTGAGAAACACCCCTGCAGCAGGCACCTCTCCAGGATCTGCTAAGTTTCGTCACCTCCTCTCGTGTCTTAGAGGGACGTGGCTCTGATGCCCTCCATGTTAGTCATTCAGTGTTTCCTGACCTCCTCGTCACCTGCCACTCCAGTTCCACCTGCCTGCATGTCTGCCTCATCTGACCAAGATGAAATGCTGACAGTCTTTGAAGTGCCCAAAGGGGCAGATGGCACCAGAGAGCAGGGACTGCAGATCTGCCTTCTGCTCAAAGGCCACACTCCCATCTGGGCCTCAGTTTCCTTATTTAGCTTATGAGTCACAGCAGTGCTTTTAAACTCTCATTGTCATAAAAATACCTTTTCTCAATCAAAATATAGAGCCAATTCCAACAGCAAAGCAGACAGACAGAGCTGCCCTGATTTCAAAGAATGAACCCACCCAGAAAGGTGCCCTGAGCTCTATCCAGGGGCCCCAGGCTGTGTTGTGGGCTAGCCTACTTGGCAGGCTCCACCCAAGGCAACATTTAATAACCACGGGTCCCCTCTATATCCCCACACCCAAGTAACCCCAAGCTAGCTTCTCACCAGACCCCAACTTTTCCTGCCCTTTCAACTGACCTCCCATCCACAGTTCAGTACAGGATGTCCACTGCTAGTACAGTAGCTCAGTCCCAGTCACTAGGGCTCAAGTTCTCCCTTTAGGCCTCTTCCAATCAACTCACAGCAGCCATGTCCTAGTTCCTGAGGCCTGGGCCTTGTCCTCTCCTTACCCCTGCATCCCAAGATCACCTTCATTGTCACTGGAAACCCCCCAAAGTCCGCAGAAAGAGACGCCTCAACTTGTCCTTAGAGGCTCCAGGGTAGGCACCAATTGGCCTTGTACTTTGCAACATAGCCAGTGTCCCCAGATCAGTGTCCACCCCTCATGCCAATGTCCTCTCAGCATCCTCCCTGGAGTCCAGCACTCTTTTCTCATCTAGGTATGTATGCTATAGATCACGGACAACTGATGTACTAATTTTTAAGAATTCTGTGACTCAACTGCTAAGCAAAACCATCTTTTAAAAATTAAATGTATATACTTGTAATGAATTACATTACAAAATAAAAGTGGGGTTAGAGAGATGGCTCAGCAGTTAAGAGCTCTGGCTACTCTTGCAGAGGACTGGGTTTGGTTCCCAGAACCCAAATGGTAGCTCACAACTGTCAATTACTCCGGTTCCAGGGGATCTGATTCCCTCTTCTGGCCTTCATAGGAATTGCACACATGGGTGTCCTTACATACATATATACAAAATACATATACACATAAAATAAAAATAAATTTTTAAAAACTATAAAAAGTTTGCTGGGTGTAGTGGTGCACGCCTTTAATCTCAGCACTTGGGAGGTAGAGGCAGATGGATCTCTGTGAATTCAAGGCCAGCCTGGTCTACACAGTGAGTTCCAGGCCAGCTGGGGCTATAGGGAGACCCTGTCCCAAAAAGACCGAAAAAAAAAAAAAAATTGTAAAAATTTTAAATATAGATAAAAAGTAAAGATGACTGTGATGATTTAGTGTTGATTACCAACCAGAACTAATCTGGAATCACTTAGAAGATAAGCTTCCAGGGACATCTGTGAAGGATATTATCTAGATTAGGTTGGCCTCTGGCTCTGCCTGTGAGGGATTGCCTTGACCGGGTTAACTGAGGTGGGGAGACCCATCCTAAAGGAGGGCACCTCTATCCCTTGAACTACAGTCCTGGACTGTGCAAAAAGGAGAAAATTAGCACAGGCATTCATCAAATCCTACTTCCTGGCCATGGACACAATGTGACAAGCTGTCAGACTCCTACTACAGACCAGGCCCTGGAAGGTAAGCCCAGTGGGATGGTCCCATTCTCCCTTAAGCTGCTTTTGTCAGGGTGCTTTATCACAGAATCAGGAATAATAAGACACAAAATGCCATGGCTGACACTCAAATGTATCAGCCCCACTATTTCAATGTGTTCATTATTGTATGTGCTCTACAAGCTTAATTATGGCTACAGTGTCTAGACAGCAGAAATCCCACGTAACAGTGCGCCCACTCTTTCAGAGCTTAGTGCCTTGCCTTTGCCCCATGGCTGTGACATCAGCCACAGGGGAAGGTTCACACCATGGAAACTGCTCAGCATTAAAAATCGGGACTTGATTTACTGTTTTATGTGTTGTCTAGAACTAAGCAAGTGACCAGGAAATGTCAGGAATATAGACTCAACTCAGAACTGTTACAGCTATAATACAGAACAGTGGAAATATTCTGACTAGAATATCCTCAAATAGTCTCAATAGACAACTCAGCCAATTCAGCAAGGAATTTGCTTATTAACATTGACCAAGTAATGTTTTGCTATGTGTGAGTCTTCTCATCTTACATAGTAACACAAACAAAACCATCAACCATAGATGTGTGAACCATCCATGTTTGAGAATTTGTGGCCATAAGGGGGGAAAAAAAAAATCACTGAAAGCATCCCAAGAAAAAAATCTACTTGTTGTATGGAATTCACAATAAAAAGGATTATATACTTTTTTATTTGTAAATTATATACTAAACATCCATGATATAATTCATAATAAATCTATGCACACACACAGTTTTTTTCTGGTGAACTAGTACTCCAGTTGTGTGACAACTAAAATTGTTTTCAAACATGGCCAACTGTCCCCAGGGGACAAAGTCACCCTCCCTCATTGAGAACCGCTGTCCCAGGCAAACTCGCAAACTGAAGGCTCCCATGTCCTGCAGACCTCCTTGGTAGGAAGGGATGGCCTCTCCCTGTGTCCTGGGAGTGACTCCCAGGGTCACTGGCTCCCCAATTCCCCAAGGTGATGCAGGTTAAGGGGTCCAAGTGCTGAGTGTCACACGGGGACTCACACACAGGCTCTGCAGTCAGCTGGACCCAGGCTCAAATCCCACCTCTGATACCTGCAGGCTGCGTAACCTCGGGCAGGTCACATGCCCTCTCAGAGCTCAGTGGCCTTGTCTGTAAAATGGGCACAGTGATCATGCCCACCAGCTGTAGGGAGATTAAATGAGATGGTGTGTAGCCAATGCCTCACACGATTCTCGCACACAAGAAGGGCTCCCAAAACATGAAGTGCTTTCTAAAGACACAGCAACCAGAAACCTGCCCCCACCCCACAGAGCAGCTCCTCAGCCAGTCCTGTCTTTGCACACAGGAAGGGCTCCCAAAACATGAAGTGCTCTCTGATCACACAGCATTCAGAAACCTGCCCCTATCCCACCGAGCAGCTCCTCAGTTGTACCTGTGAGATGTAACCTGGTGGGATGTGGCCATCCTCCTGGGGTCTGGAGATGTTCTGAGGAGCCTCCCCTCGAAGACGCCATGCCTCCAGCTGAGCACGGAGAGACTGGACCTAGGAGATGGGAAGACCAGGTCAGTGGGAACCCAGAAGTAAGGGGGTGGGCATGTGGGAGGCAGGGAGGAACCCACAGTCTTCTACCTCCACATGGCTACAAGCCCAATTTCCCTGGGGTGCTGAGTAACGGCTCTGGTTTGAAGAAAGGCCAGCAGATCTAGCTAGAGGTACAGGCAAGGAGACACTCTGGCTGGTTCCAGGATGGCTAGGTCAACAACCTGAGTGAGCTTTGGCCCAGAGATGACCAGACAGGGTTAGGAACAGCACAATGTAGTCACAGATATCTACTGTCCCATGAAAGTAGCCAGAGGGGACATCCTTGTGCCTGTTTCCCATTTATGAAAGTGTGGTGGACTCTACCCTAGCAGACCAGATGCTGGGGGACGGCATGAAGCAAGGAAGGTAAAGGGGTGCCTGACAAGGGATGGAAAAGCCACAGAGCAGATGGCCCCTCCCTTCTCTACCCACATCTCTTTCCTGTGGTTAAGAGCAGAACAAAGACAAAACCACACAAAACAAAGTGAACTCCAAGGGCCAGGGAAGAAGGGCCACAGGGAAGGCCCTGTGAGCAGCCTGAGGTGACAGCAGATGAGCTCACTGTCAGGGTGCCTTGCGGGGCTGATAGGGAGAGGGACCCACCTCCTTCTCTAGTGCCTCATGGCTGTCACCCATGGTCCCTCGGCGATCGCCCTGGCTTTGGTTGAGCAGGGCAGTGAGTGGCACCCTCTTGTTCTCCCGCAGGGGCAGCTTCTCTAGCTCCTGCCACTTTTTTTCGATCTCCTCATTGAGCCGGCTCTGCTGATCCTCAGTCAGAGGCGCGCCCAGGCCCCGTCGAGGCCCATCACCACTGGGTGTCTCTGGGGCCCTGCTGTCTGTGGCCTCGAACCACTTGCGCCTTTCCTCAGAGCGCTGTGCCAGGTCCCGCTCCAGCTCCTCTTGCTTAGCCGGATGCTCGGGAGTGGACCGCTCAGGATTGGAGCGGGACAGGGTGCGGGCCCGCTGTGGGGAGCTCTGAGTTAATGGAGAGAGCTCCACATAGTCCAGGGACTGTCGTGGTCCATCCACTTTCCGAGGGCCACCCCGGCCAACGACCTCAGAGCCTGTCCGCTGCTCCCCTGGCTTCAGGGAGCCCTTCTGGGTGCCACAGCCACGCAGTGTGTTTTCCTTATTGCAGTCTGAGAGCCTAGGGCACCAGCAGAGCCATGTCAGGGGAAAATTTTGCCCACTCAGTTCCACAAGAGCACTTCCTGAGGGTTACTCATGTGCCAGGAGCTGGACACAGAGCCAGGGACAACCAGCCCTGCCTAGAGGTTGAGAATTTGAACCTTAGCAGACTCTGAGGACATTCCCACACCTGGATCCTTGGACAGCATGAACGTGGGGACTCAGTGTGCAAAGCAACCAGGAGATTCTTCAAGATGCGGGGACGCACGTGTTAACCGCGAAGGCACAAAACAACAGAACTACATGAAGCCAGGCCCTGGGTTCAAAGGCTTACAATGTGAATAGAGGGTTCTTGTAGGCACTGTTGATAGGGGAGACACTGATGTCTGACTGCACGCAGAACAGGCTGTTGAGACTTTTAGCAGTTTTCTTCTACAGTTTAGCTGGGTACACTGTCACCTAGCCCATCCCCTGCAGCTGGGTATGACCGGTCACATGACCACATTCTGCCTGGGGCTTAGAAACAGCTCCCTCTAAAAGGCTAGGTTCTCCTCATCTGGCAGGTACTAGCTGGGCCTCCAGAGCACCTCAGCTGTGCTCTCTGACTTGGAAGCCAAGCTATGAGTTGAGGGCCAAGGAGCTGTCCACCAGACCCACACTGATACCTCTAGGCTATTTTTTTTTTCCTTTTTTGTTTTGGTTTTTTTGAGACAGGGTCTCCCTGTAGCCCCAGCTGTCCTGGAACTCACTATGTAGACCAGGCTGGCCTTGAACTCACAGAGATCCGCCTGCCTCTGCCTCCCAAATGCTGGGAATACAGGTGTGCGCTACCATGCCCGGCTTTTTTTTTTTTTTAATGTATGAGTGTATTGCCTGCATGTGTGTAAGTGGAAATCGAACCCAGGTCCTCTGTAAGAACAGCTAGTGCTCTTAACCACTGAGCCATCTCTTCAGCCCCCATTATCTTGAAACTGGAAAAAGTGCTCATCTGGCTTAAGCCACTGCATCTGGGTTTCTCTGTTAAAGCATTCCAGCCTGTATACTAAACAAGAGTCTGACAGCACAGAACTTCAGAGTTCAGCAAGGGCCCTGGGCACATGCCAACACATGCCTACATACGTGCAGACATGATATTCTAGAAGACAGACAGGAAAGCCACTGGCCTATGGTCAAATAGCCAGGGTGTGGCAAGGCTTAGAGGCTCAGGCTTAGATCCCTTCAACAACCACACTGCTCCTATAAAGCCCCAGCTCCCTGCACTGTCAGCAGAAAACAGACAGTAACCCCACCCCCCCAGCTTGAGGGAGGGGTGTGTGCATAGGCCAGGCTATCTAGCAGAGACAAAGAGCCAACGTTGCCTTACAAGCCTCATCTCAAAAGCACCAAGGCATCTTTCCACTCTTTTAAAATATGAGGGGACATGAAGGGATAGCAGGTTGAACCCCAAATTCTCAATGGCTTTCTAGATATGCCCTGCCCTCTACCCATTTGTTGCTAGAGAAAATGAGTTCCAGAGCATACAGCCACAAGGTCCCATTCAGGGATACAGTAATACCTATCTCCCAGTACTCCAGTCCAGCCCCCCAGTCTAGCCCAACACATACTTGGTGACATCTGGGGCTGAAGTTGGACGCACAGTCTTCCTGAGAGCCTCAATCCAGTTCCTCCGGATGCCGGAGGTCATGGCCGACAAGGTATAAACAGCATCCTTGGTCTGCAAATGCACCCCACATGTAGGTTGCCATGTGACCAGTCCCATGCTCCCTCCTTCTATGAGCCCAGGGAGGTGGTCCTTCCTTCCCAGGAGGGTGTCTAAGGTCTTGAGTGAGAAGTGAGCAGAGGGTATTAAACCCCTGTGACAGCTGCAGAAAGTGCCCGATTCCAGGTCTCCCTAGATATGTGAAGGACGGGCATACGGGCCACTGACTGGATGAGGACAGGTCTCAGGGTAAATGAGTGAGTCAAGGTCAACACCCCTCAGGGCCACCTCCCCACCTCCCCACTTCCTCGCTCCAGATGCAGCCTCACGTGGATCTGGAAGCCATAGTTGCGTTGTACTGCATATTCCGTGACATCTGTACAGGAGCGCAGGTCGATCTCACCATCCAGCTCATCTGCCTAGAGCAAGAGGATCAACCATGGTCCACACAGGTCCTGAGGAGCCCCACTCATATATTCCAGCCAAGGGCCCCAGTCCTTTCCAGGGCCCTCCCACCCAGTTACCTTACCTCCTCAGCAGTAGAATCTCTGTAATATTTGAGGCTTGAATCTGTCAGCACAAACCAATGCTTCTTCCACTGTGAAGGAAGAGATGGTAAGCAAGGGTTAGGGGGATAAGAGGAAGGAGGAAGAAGCCTGTATATGTTTCTGTCCCCAGTTCTCACACTGTTGAGGGATGTTGTGATTGGTCAGAAAGTTGTTGGGGGCAACAGCTATGAAATGGGTTGGCCCCTCCTCAGTTAACTACACCCTCCCTGGCCTGGATGGAGCCCTTTGGTTTGCCGGCACTCCCACACTCCACACTACTCTTTTTTCTATAGGGTCTCATGTAGGAGCTCAGGCTGGCCTTGTTAGGTAGCCAGGATGACCTTGAACGTCTTTATTATTGGGTGTGCATGGTATATGTTTGGTGATGGGCACATGTGCTACAGTGTGTATGTGGAAGTCAGAGGACAACTTTGTGGAGTCAGTTCTTTCCTTCCATCTTTATGTGGGTTCCGGGAATTGAACACAGGTCACCAGGTTTGCATTGGCAAAAGCCTTTACACAGAGTCATCTTGTCAGCTCCTGAGCCCTAGGATTACAGGCATGTGCCACTATGCCTGGTTTATGTGATGCTAATGATCGAACTCAGGGTTTCGTGCATGCTAGGCAACCACTCTAAAAACTTAATTATATTCCCAGCCCATCCAACACCTCCCTGAAGACTTCAAAGCTCAGCAAGTGCCTTCCCCCAGTGCAGTTCAGGGAGGGAGTAGGGCCTTGTGAGGTCAAATGCCTAGCAAGTCAGGGACTAAGTGGGGCCATTGCTGCAAGCTGTTTTCCGTATGCTTCCTGAACTGCCTGCCATAAAGGTTAAAGACAAATATCTCTCAGAAAACTGAAAAGGGGCCTGGGGTGGGTAGCTGAGCACTAGGCAGTCTGCATAGTGGGCTGGTTGCTCACATATTTCAGTGTGAAAATGTGTTAACCTGTATGTTCGTAATTCGTTGAGGTTAAGTTAGCAAGACACACAGGAAAGGGGCAGGGACATCAGACCAGCCTGACATCTCGTGCATCTCCATCTGTCTCCCTCAGGGCTCTGGTCAGTCCACTGGAATGTCAGTTAGGGTCAGCCCACTACCAGGGTCAGTATCTCCCAGTCCAGTCCTCCTGGGGTTTCCCCCATGCCACCAAGTTCTGCCTGTGCTGTTTTCTGTTTCCTCTCTTCCAGGACATGGTAAAGTTTACAGGGTCTGAGGGTGATGCTTTCTACTTTTATCCACACTGCCTCCCCTGAGAAACATGTTTTAGCATCCAAGGACCTAGAGTGCAACTGCTTTCTTGCTGTGTGCCTTTAGGCAAGTGTCTCCACTGCTCTGATCTTTACTCTTCTGACCTGTACAGTAAAGACAGTAAGAAATCCCTAGACTTTGGGTAATGTTAGAAGTACCTACCCTTTGTGTGACTCTCTTGGCATGTGGCACAGGGATGGGCACCAGCTCTTGGGGATAGTTCAAAGAGGTCAGCCACTTAGGACAATCTTGCTCCTGGAGTAGAGTGAGGTACTACTTGGGACCTCAACTGCCTCTCTGCCAAGTGGGATGGGATCTGTGGCAAATAGTTTCTAGGCTCTTCCAGGCCTATTCTGTTACTGTCACAACAGGAGCTAAAGAGTTCTGTGGGTCTCAGACATCAGATTCTAGGCCTGGGCTGCCCAAGCCGCCTCTCAGTCCAAGGGATCTCAGCCTTATAGGCCTGACTCCCAGCTCTGAACAAGGGGCTGGGCTGGCTGTACTCCCAAAGCCCTTCCAGCTTGGACATTCCAAAACCCCATGAAAGAGTATGAGTAACGGCCAGTTCTGGGTGGGGCCCATAATCCCTCTGCCCTCTGGGACCCTGGGTGGGGAAGCCAGGAAAGGGTCACTGGCAGGGCGCCAGGCCTTGTGTGAGCCTGGAGGGCAGCCACCAAGGGACGGTGGGTAAACAGCGAGGACAGAAGGCTGCGGGCTGCAGAGAATAAAGCACGTGGGCAGGAAACACAATGCGATTCCCCTTGGCTCTGAGCCCTGCCCGGCATGTGGGCTGCACACAGATCTGAGCCACTAGCACATGCAGGCTGTGTAGGCAGGGCAGGACGCCAGCTCAGCTCCCAGGCTCTAGTCTGCCTGCCAGCCGAAATAGCAGAGTTGGTGAATAGCCACTATCCCTAATGTTTCCAAGGACAGATACACTAGACAAGAGGTGGAGGGGTGATGAGCTGAGCTCCTGGTAGGCAACAGGGGCTATGGAACCCTCAAATCATGACTTCGGTGACTCTGTTCCCCACCCATCTGCCACACACAAGTCACAGACATGGCAACTGACCAATGGATCCCTGGATTGGAAAGTCTTCTGAGCCTATGCTCTGTGCCCTATGTCCATGTCCCAGTGTCTGGAAATGTGTAAGACTCAAGCCAGATAATCTCTGAATCCTCCACCCCACACCCTCAGAATATAGCCAGCATTGTCATGAAGAGGGAGGTCCAAGATGCTCCCGATAGAGCTGAGAATGGGTGAGAGCTATGTGGCCAGGAGGCTTCCATCGAATGACTTATGCATTATAGGCTGCATAGGAGGTGGTAGTATCCAAGTTTCCTTTTCCCTGAACCAGAAATACAACCCCTTCAGGGTTTCTACTTGACTCTCACCATGGGACACCATACCTATCCCCAGAGGCCAGGGCCTCTCCATGGAAGCACATCAGCCCAGGCCAGCCTACCCACTCCTGTCCAGACTCCTACCTCTCCAGGTTCATCCAAGATGGACATCCATCCCTTCTTGAAGTTGAGCAGATCAGGCTGTGGGGAGATGAGACCGCAGAGGGTTAGTCCTGGCAGGAAAACTGTCTGGTCTGCTGAGGAGGGAGTGTGGCAGCCATTCTGTCCCAGTCCTGCAACACTGAGGTCCCAGGAGAGCAGCTGAAAGGGCTAAGGGCCAGGGACATCCCTCCTACCCTGCCAAAGCAAGCAGGCTCCCAGACCGAGGCAGCCCTGGCCTCTTTCCCTGGCATCCTCTGAGAGCTAAGAGGTTGGGCTGAATAGTTGACATATACACCCCTGATGTCTAAACTCTGGCCCCACCCAGGAGAGGGAGAGAAGGGACCAAGGGAACTCTGCCTATAGGGACATAAAGAAAGCCCTAGGGAGTTCAGAGAGAAGCCTGGAGCGATGGCTGAGCAAACAGTCCAGGTCCTCTCTGACAAAGTCCAGGTGGCCTACCTGGAACATACTCTAATGCTCTATCCACGCCCACCACTGACCCTCCAACTAGCCCTCCCCTTCCCTCATCTCCTAGTCACCCTAATGGCAGAATCAAGCCCAGGCTGGGGTCAGATACCCTCTATGGTTTCTTTTCCCCAGGTCTCTTTGGGTAGGCCATGGCATTCAGTCCTGACAAGCCCTACCTGCTGGGTCCTGCCCAGGGGGGTATAGCCCTGGGGTCTGGGGACCCCCAGCTGCAGCATATTTCACAGGGGGAATGTGACTAGATACCCCTGCCCAGGCCTACATGAAGCTGCTCATCCTGGCATTTTCCCAACCTGCCCATCTGGATGGCACCAGCAACTAGACCCTCCCTGCCTGCTGGTAGCCTATCTAGGTCCCTGTTCCTCTGCAGCCTCAGCTCCTGCCTACTGGCAGGGAGGAGAGCAGGGCAGGCCAGGCAGACTAGCAGCAGGGAGGAGGTGGCCACCTGTTGCCATGGCTCTGAGCCCACCTATCAGAGCCTGCATCGAGGCCTCACCAGGCCAAGGTGTCCGGTTGCGTGGAGGGAGCCGGTAGCAAGGTGGAATGGGGTGGGCAGTGGCAGCTGGAAACCAGAGCCACCTGACCCGGCCATCTCTCCAGATCTGCTCTCTTCCAGAGAGCCCCATTTTCCTCAAGTGGAAGTGGGCTGGGAGGGCCTGTGGCTGGCAGCCTGAACACCTAGAAGCATCCACAGCCACAGCAGAGGCTCCCTCATACTGCATACCTGTCTGAGGGAGGAGACTGCTGTGTTCCAAGCCCACAGCCTGGAAACCCTGTTTGCTTTCTGTTCTGCCAGCCCATCACCCACCAGTGACTACGTAGCCCAGATGACCCCCAGCTAAGACCAAGGACAGTGACCAACCATTCCGGGTTCCGCTGTCCTTCAGCTTGGACCTTCCACCCTCCTGGCCCCAGGACCTGGCAGAAGAGGTCTGACCACAGCAGGTCTCAGGAGAGCTGTGAATAAGTATCTTTCCCCTCCCAGGTGTCAATGTCTGTGCTTTGGGGCAGATTCCCCTGACCCCAATCTGGCCCTGAGAAGCCAGAAAGTCAGGACTGCTGGGTCAGTAGAGCTATCACTGAGAGATGACCCAAGGGAGAGGCCCCCAGGTACAATGACAGCAATGACAGGCAGAGACCTAGAGTGCTGCCTAGGGAATGAAGTGGCTGTGACCTCTCTAAATCACATCTCCCCTCTGAGCCCTGGCTCAGATGTGGCAAATGACTTGGGGTCCTGACCCAGCCCCAGTTTTCCAGCTGTCGCAGCCAGGTGACTCTCTCAAGCCCAGTGCAGATGGAGGTATGCCATATCAGATGTGATCTAGCACAGCGATCTTGGGAGAGGAGACTGCCAAAGTGAGTTTTTAAACCCTCTGGGAGGGGAACCTATAGCCCGGGTCAAAAGATCTGATAAAGGCTAGGGAGGTAGTTATATCAGTAAAATGTTAGCCACACAAGCACAGGGATCTGAGTTCCAATTCCTAGCACCCAAGTAGAAAGCTTAATGTGGTGGTGCACACCTAGAATCCTAACACAGAAAGGCAGACACAGAAGAATCCCTGGAGCTTGCTGTCCGGCTAATCTAGCTGAACTGGCAAGCTGTAGGTTCAGTGAGCAACCCTCTCTCAAAAAATAAGTTGCAAGAAAGGCAGGTAGATCTCTGTGAGTTCAAGCCTAGCCTGGTCTACATAATAAGTTCTAGGCCAGCTGGAGCTACAGAAGACCCTGTCTTAAAAATACCAAAAAAAAAAAAAAAAAAAAAAGTTGGAAGGGCTGGAGAGGTAAGGTGGCTCAACACTGGTTGAAGAGGACCCAGGTTCAGTTCCCAGCACCATCCTTAAGTTCAGTTCCAGGGGAGCCAACACCCTCTTCTGGCCCTACGAGTACTGCACGACATGGGTGTACTTATATACATGCAGGCAAAACACTTACACACATAAAATTAAATAAATGAATGAATAAAAATTTTTAAAAAAAATGAGCGTGACGGAGCATGTCACCTGAAGCTGATCTAGCTACCTCCAGCATTGGGCAGGCACTCCTGCTACATATGTACACACACACATATATATACACAATGACATTAGAAAAAAATTTTTTTTTGGTCTTGAGACAGGGTCTCCTTATAGCCCCAGCTGGCCTGGAACTCACTATGTAGACCAGGCTGGTCTTGAACTCAGAGATCTCCCTGCCTCCGCCTCCCGAGTGTTGGGATTAAAGGCAAATGCCACCACGCCCAGCTAAAATAACTTTTTTTTTTTTTTTTTTTTTTTGGTCTTTTTGAGACAGGATCTCCCTGTAGCCCCAACTGGCCTGGAACTCACTGTGTAGACCAGGCTGGCCTTGAACTCACAGAGATCTATCCACCTGCCTCTGCCTCCCAAGTGCTGGGATTAAAGGTGTGCACCACCACGCCCGGCTAAAATAACTTTTTAAAAGGTCTGACAAGCTACATCTTGAAGGCTGTCAGTTCCCTGGCTCCTCAGGCCCAACTGCCCTTTCTCCATCTGCAAAATCACCTACTCCATTCTTTAAGGAACAGCCATAGGCTCTCATGCCCTCCTTCCCAACCAGTACCACAGATCAGTCCTTCCTCTCACCTGGACCACAGCCATAGCCCCTTCTAAGCAAGCTCTGCCAGGGGGACCCTCAGGAGGGCTATCAAATGCCTTAACCTCCTCCTGCCAGCCTGGTGTGTCCCCACCTGAGCGTACTTATACCAGCACACCGTGTTCACAGATCCCTAACAGAGAGAACCACCCAAGCCCTCCCTCCATACCTGCCTTGTCCTCAGCCTGAAGTCCTAGGCGTCCCCTTCCACTGACCAAGCCAAGTCGCTGCTCATACTTCAGACCTGCTTAATTGCACCTGAGGCTTCTTCACAGTGCTTACCCCACACCATCTGCCTGCTGTCCCTGAATTGCCTTCTGCGTCCCCTTACAGAGGCCCCTGTTGCATCAGGACCAGAACCACCTTACGCCCTTTAGTTTTCCCTCCAGGTGGCTTGATTAGGATCTAAGACCCAGCACAGAACAGAGATCAGAGAATCTCTGCAGAAAGAAAAAGTCATTACCACCACCCTCCTTTCTTAAAGGCACGAGATGCTGTTCTAAGGCAAGACATGAGCTGTGAACAAGACCTGTGGCCCCTGCCCAGGTAGAGCTTAGGAGAGACAGATAGTAAACAAAATGACAAGTATATAATTTGATGCCCAGCAGTGGCTGGAGAATGAGGCTCCTCAGCAAAGCTGTGCCAGGCTAAAGTGAAATGCAGTGAAAGAGGCTCTAGACTCCAGGTCAGCCCAGATTCACCAGCTCCCTGAAGCCTAATACCCAGCCCTGCCCTGTGCCACTTGCTCAGTCCAGAACCTTATGCTCAGGGATGGTGGTTCAGGGAGACAGGTTGGAGAGATTGAGCAGGCTCAAGTGAATGGTGGCCAGGAGGAACCCAGAGAGCACTGTGAATGGTGATCATGAGGCCTGCTCTCTGCTCTGAACCACTCATGGCTCCCTACCGCCCCTAACCCAAGTTCAAAGTCCATTTTCAGGCCCCTTCTCTATGCTCTCAACATCCTCAATACAGTCATGAGCCTTTATCTGCACATCCCGTCCTCCTCCACAGCCCATCTCCACCTGACAAAGTCCTATAATCACAAGACAACTCCCCCAGGAAGCCCTCCTCCCACCAGCAGGAATGAGCTGGCTCTCCTCTAGGCACCCCTGGCTTGGATGTAGCCAGGCATGCTGTTCAGTAGCCTCACCCTTGCTTAGCACATGCTTCCCAGGAGTGACAACTGTGTGCCTTTCTTATCTCTCCCCAGAAAGCAAACTGAGGCTGACCAGGATATAAATTCTGGCCCAGCTAGGGCCAAACTGCATCACCAGGGCTATGATCCTTCACTCCTCTACACCTCAGTTTCCCCATTCGTTCAAAGGGGATGGTGCCATCAACCTTAAAAAGATCAATCTGGCCGGGCGTGGTGGCGCACGCATATAGTCCCAGCATTTGAGAGGCAGAGGCAGGCAGATCTCTGAGTTCAAGGCCAGCCTGGTCTACATAGTGAGTTCCAGGACAGCTCAGGCTACAGGGAGACCCTGTCTCAAAAAGACCAAAAAAAGATCAATCTGGTAACATGAAAGCGCCCAGTTCCGGGTCTGGCAGGCACTCAGTGGAGCCCAGCAACTACCTTCTCCAGCCCAGGACACCGACTAACTCCTCCTCCAACATCCCTCTGCTCCCTAAGAGAAGGGGAGGCTGCTGACGCCAGGAAGAGCCAGTAGGGAGGTGGCAGGATGTGTGGAGGCCGAGGAAGTCCAGGCAGCAGAGCCAGGTCATCACACACACAGGGACAGGGGCCCCACAAGGCCACACCCCTGGCAGCCCAGCCCACTCCTCACTAGCCTACTCAGTAGAAGACAGGCTTGCGCATGTGCATACACACCCTGCTCATCCTCCTCCCAACACCAAGAGGGTCAGCAGGCTCCCAGAGCCTGTCTGGGGGCAGTAGACAGAAATCAAAGGCAGCCCCACCCCTCTTTTCCAAAACATCATGG